CTGTCTGATCCCTTACAGAAAAAGCCTGCCATTCTGTGCCCCCGCCCCCCGCCCCACAATCACATTTGACTGTGTGGGACTTTTGACAAGAACTTTATGGTTAAAAAATTATATTAAAGATCAGTCTCTTGTGACAGATGAATGCTCTGCAGTGTCATGATACCTTCCCTAATGGTCAGAAATATTTGTTTTTTTTTTTATTATTTTTAAAGATTTTATTTATTTGTTTGACAGAGAGAGAGATCACAAGTAGGTGGAGAGGTGCGGGGACCGGGTGCGGAAGACACATGGAGGCAGGCCCCCCGCTGAGCAGAGAGCCTCATGCAGGGCTCGATCCCAGAATCCTGAGATCGCAACCTGAGCCAAAGGCAGACGCTTAACAACCTGAGCCACCAAGGCGCCCCTAGAAACATTTGGATTTCTAAAATTATTCCTCCTTTAAAAATATACTTAAATAAAATTATTCCTCCTTTAAAAATATACTTAAGGGGCGCCTGGGTGGATCAGTGGGTTAAGCCGCTGCCTTCAGCTCAGGTCATGATCTCAGGGTCCTGGGATCGAGCCCCGCATCGGGCTCTCTGCTCAGCGGGGAGCCTGCTTCCTCCTCTCTCTCTGCCTGCCTCTCTGCCTGCTTGTGATCTCTGTCTGTCAAATAAATAAATAAAATCTTAAAAAAAAAAAATAAAAAATAAAAAATAAAAATATACTTAAGTGAATAAATAAGAAAAGAAGTACTAATATATTTTTAAAGAGTGCCTGGTCAGGCACTTTACATGATGTGTCTCTTAATTCCAACAAGCCTGAGAGGTGGGGTACTAAGATTATTGTCCCAAATTATGTGGGTGGATATTGGTGCTCAGAGATGCTGTGTAACTAGCTCACTGAACACACTAATACAAAGTGGCTTCACCACCCAATCTGCCTTTGCTTCAAAGCTTTTTCTACACCTACAGCCTTAAGTTGAAAGGATACAGTTAATAAACTGCACTGCTTCTAAACCAGGCGGTATTGCATAGCAGTTAAGAGCAAGCATTACAAAGGCAGACAGCTTGGGTTTGGATCCTGACTCCACCTCTCATTAGCTGTGTGACGCTGGGGAAAATCACTTAACCCCTCTGTGTCAGTTTCCTTATCTGTAGGTTGAGAGTAAAACCTTAATTATCAGGGTGGCTTAAGGATTAAATGAGTTATACAGTTGACCCCTTGAAAAAGGTGGGAGTTAGGAACACTGACCCCCTCAGCGAGCAAAAATCTGTGTGTAATTCTGACTCCCCCAAAAACTTTACTAGTATCCTACTATTCACAGGAGGCCTGACCAACAGCATAAAAAGTCAATTAACACATATTTATATATATTGTATGTATCATATAGTGTCTTCCAATAAAGTAAGCTATAACAAAAAATACTAAGAAAATCATAAGGAAAGGAAATATATTTATAAAACTACTATATTTATTGGGGAAAAAGAATCTGCATGTAAGTGGATCTCCGCAACAAATCTGTGTTTGGGGTCGACAGCATGTGGGAAGTACTTGGAACTGTCCTTGCTGTACAGACGTTTAATTATAAACCCTTACTAGGGGAGTATAGAATCAGGAGACTAGAAGATAGGTTGAAAAAAAACAAAAAAACAAAACTAGAAAGCCACAACTAAGTCAAGGTCTGAGCAATGCTACATTTTGTTAATAAGAGTGCCCTGGAGAAGCCAAACGCTGCTGGTTATCAACCTGCCGAAACCATGAGAAAACACCTCTAGAGAGGGATAATGGAAAAGAAGAGTGAACCCAAGAACGGTGTGCTTCCAGGATCTACACTCTTGCACAGATGGAGAAGAAATGCTTAAAACGTCACTTCCCAATAACAGTGACTCCACGGGGACGTGAGTCAGAGGCCACGTGGCTTGTTTGACCCACACGAAATACAGTAGCTCTTCCAGACCAGTTCAATGGAAAGCAAAGTTGGTTTCACTAAAGCCAGGGTGATTACGCTTTAGACGGCACACAGATGGGGGAGAAGTGAGTCTGCAAGAAGACCAACTTATTTTCCACTACATGAAGCAAGACATGGAAACCTGAAGACAACTCTGAATTTCCAAGAACTAAAATCATGCTAGAGAGGAATATACAGCCAACTGATGTGGAACGAAGGAAAGCAGTAAGAGAACAGTGAGTTCTAGAGTTTTTTTTGTTTTGTTTTTTCCTCTTCAGAATTTACTCTCCCTTTGCTGATTTACGTACTCCTTCCTTGCACTCAGGGACCAAGTCGCTCCTCCCTAGCCCCCACGTGGTTCATGGGGGTTAACACTTCCCTGTCTGCTCTGGAGGTGTGCATCTGATGGGAGCCGGGTTACATCACTGTGATGGGCTCAAAGCTGGAACACGTGACTCAATCTGGGTTAATGAGAGTCTGCTCAGGACTGCTGCTGGAACTACGGAAAAAAGAGATGCACTCTGAGACAAATAAACTTAACAGCATGGCATCGTCCTCCTTAGCTCTACTTGGAACGAGCCTAAGAACGAAGGCAACGCAGAAGAAAACTGAGCTAACAGACACAGAACCAATTCTCCAGTAACACCGCTGAAGGATCTGAATGCAGCCATGGACGTCCCAGTAACAAGAGTCAATTATCATTAGGGAATGATAATTCCCTAATTATTCTAGGGGAAAATCCCCCTGATTTTTTTGAGTGGGGGGAAAGGATGAGGGGTTAAGCCAATTTAAGTCAGGCTTCTGTAGCGTGTGAACAGAAGTCTTCTAACAAATACAAGTCCACAACTAAGTCCCAGGAAATCAACAAGCAACAGGTGCAGGTTCACAGTGGGCATTCCAATTCCACTGAACAAATACGAACTGAAAACATGTCATTTCATGAGCAAAACCACAATAAATAATTGAGAGGTGGTTTCCTATAAAGAGCCAGGCTCCTCTACTATCCTTAAAAGGGTTTAAAAAAAAAAAAAAAAAAAAGGAATTACTCTAGGTCCCAATTCTGATGATCTTTAGGTTCTCTTCTTTAGTATGAGGTGTGGTTTGAAAGTTTACTATCTCATGGTGGAGGCACAGAAGAAAAAAAAAAGATTATATATGTAATATATGTAATATTACATGTAATAAATATATATTATATAATAAAATTACACATAAAACACATATACATTATATATATCTATATATCTATCTCTTTCTCTCTATCTGTAGATATCACCTAATTGTCCGTTTACATAATAAATGGACTTTGGATTTGACGATGAGGGTGGAAATACTTTGGTAATAAACAACATTTTTTAAATGGATCATATTGGAAAACTGCCCCTTTCCCTTGTGACTCAGAAACAGATACACTGAGAATATTCATAGCAATTGTATATTTCTAGAGACTTTATGAAAATAAATCTTATTTACAGATAGTTATCAGCCATTCTACAGATGAGCGAAATTAGCACCAATGCATTTCTCAAAGCTAGCACTGGTGCAGAAGGTGAAGTCAGAATTTGAAAGTGGCTTCTGCTGAGGTCTTTTTCTTTAATTATCTAAATACAATTAGGTAATAACAAAACAATGATTTATAGTGAGTGATTTATGAGAGAACAAAGCCCAATAACAGTAACTTGAATCATAAGAATTGTGAAGGGCTTTTGCTTACTGATCTTGATTGCTGATATTTAAAACAAATTTCAGGCATCTCCTTTTTAAAAAAAAAATTTTAAGTACTTAAGTTTCTAAGGACCACCCCCCCATGCTTTTCAAGTAAAATGTTATAGCTGGGAAGCTCTGAAATAGATTCACAGGCTTCCTTAATTAAAAAATGATATTCACCAAAGCCCCCTTCAGATAACACTGGATGTACTTCCAATGGCAGGTTTACAAGATTTGTATCCAGGTCCATAAAGTTAAATATAGAGATTGCTTTAACAATATAAAGACTGCACAAAACCAGAAAACTGCCCATAAATCTGCCTGCTTCTAGTTTTAGAGGCTTGAATAAGACAGAAAAGACAGAAGGAAAGATCCCCAAATACCAAATTTGTAAGCTATCATGAAGCCAGATATAGAGGACGGATACGTGTGCATATACTGGATTACGGCATGATAGGTAAATATGCTGAACACAATGTATTATTATATTTGGTCTGTCAGTGATTCAGTGATACTATCAATAAATCTATGAGGGTGTCCATAATACAGTGCAGTTTAGTCTACATTTTATTAAAGGACAAGGTCACTGTAGGGAAGGGAAATAGTAAGATGTAGTGCAGAAGCCTTTCATTTCAATTAGGAGAAGATTCATGTATCATTTATTTCCAGAGACACTTTAACAGTGTTACAGATTCAAATGGAGTAACCCAAGTTTTCAGTCATACTGTAACTGGAGAAATTAAAGTTACTCCATTCTCACCATAAGGACATGAATCCGAACTAAAGAGAACACCAAAATGGAAAGGTAAGAAGCAAGGTGGTAGCATTTCCTTGGCACCCACTTCTTTCTTTCTTTGTTTTTTTTTTATACAAAAGGAAATTTATTTCAAAAGCATAAGGCACCTATTTCTTAAGTGTATAAAGTCATTCGCAGAAAAACAAAGAGGACCAATCACCAAGCTACAACTAGCCAGTCACTGATAGCAGTTCTAAAAAATTAGAGTTAGTAGGTCAGTGATTCAGTATGCAGACACATGAATAAAAGTGAAAAATAAATTATTGCTAATTTAATACTGGGAGAATTTTTATTTAATCACTGTCATTCTGAGAAAACGGGTAAACACAGACTCACACGAAGAGCATCAAAACTGTCCTTGGTTATACCTCCTTTGCCCTTTACAATCAACCCTCCACAGATTCTGTAACTACTCCTATGACAATGTGCTAGACCTTATGATTTAGAGTCCATTCTCAAAACGGTGGTATGAAACCCTCCATCAAAAAGGCATTTTATGAGGAAAAGCATGAACAGTGGGAGGTGATGGCTATGTAAAAGAAAAAAGCAATATAAAATCATTCTTACTTTAGAAATGATTGGAAATCTTCGCACACTGCTTCACAGCCTGGCCACTTGCACACACCATGTCCATAGAGAGGATGGCTATGGGGGTGCTCCTCATGGGACAAACTGAAAAAAAAAACACACACACACACACAAAAGGACAAGAGAATGAGTATGTTGCCAAGAACCATCCCATCAGACTTAAAAGGCAAGAGGAACCCACATGGCTGAAAGTGGACATGGAGGAATCGAGGGTTTCTTTTTCCCCATGAATTTACTCATTAATTCTGAATTGTTCTTTGAAAGCAAGAGTTAAATTCCAAGATGTGAATAGTCCAATGTTAGAAATGTAACCACCATATATGAAAAGTGTTTGACAGGCTTTTGTTAGAGGCAAAGCTCTCTACTCAGACTGTGAAGGATTCTTTAAAAAGCTAGAATTTATCATTTAATCTACATAATGAAAATGATAAAAATCTGTACTTGATTTTGAGATTCTCTTGCTGTTTTCTACCCAAGGTATTATACATTTTCTTCCTCCTTTCCACCAGAAAACTGCTTTCACCTAATTGTATGATCTTTTCATAAATTAATTTTATCTAGCAAAGAATAGAGCAATTAAATAATTTAGAATAAAATAATTTAGAAACACAAATATATCCAAGCAAATGATTAGCTTTAAAAAGACACTGATAACAGCGAAAAGATTATATCCCTAAAATTACAGACACCAAGAGTGAGAAAAAACTTAGCATGAACACGAGGGGTTAATCCTCTAGTGGGGTTCCAATCAATACATAATGATTTGACCACAAGGATCCAAGTCATGGGATGCTTTGATCCACGCCATGTGGTGCTTGGGGAAGTATATCTGTTGTACTCGCTGAGGAACCATATTCTCAAATATTTTCTCTATTAGATTTCTGCATCCAGACTTCTTTCAGACAAATTATTTTTATACTCATTTCCATAACCTTAGATTCCATCAAATAGAAGTGTAAAATGAACACAGAGAGTTCTGTTTCGTACTCAAGCACAATCCCTTCAAGGAAAGGGCTGTCTTGCAACTTACTCCACTTCCTCTCCATGACTTTGAACTTCAATCATGACCACACACACACACACACACACACACACACACACACACGCACAGCTTCTATTTTATATTACCACCAGGATGTGCATTCATCTATCATCTATCGATTCACACTCACAGAGCAGACATACACAAATGCCACTTGTCCCTGACTTATAACATAATGAATCCACGGTGGGCATATTATGAACAGTTAAACTAAGGAGCAGTAGGAGTAAACACACGTGCGCACAGAACTATACCTTATCAGGGATCAATAGGTCTCTCTCTGGCTTTTAAATAATTACGCTGGAAATTTAATATCACTTGAAAATAATGACAAGCTTCTCTGCCTTAAAATAGAAAATACATCTGGGAACCAGAAAAAAATTACAGAAGTCTAATTCATAAAGGTGTCCCTCATGTGAGAAAAGACTAAGATTAGTGAATGAAGGTGGCTCTGTAGTGGAACTTATAAAGCCCAATGACAAAAGGATGCTCTCTAAGCAGTGAAGACAGCAGAAGTCCATTGGACCAAAAGAATTACTGCCAACCCAAGTTCATCTTTGGGTTTAAAAAAAATTTTTTTTGTTTATTTATTTGAGAGATCACAAGTAGGCAGAGAGGCAAGCAGAGAGAGACAGGAGGAAGCAGGCTCCCTGCTGAGCGGAGAGCCCAATGCAGGGGTTTATCCCAGGACCCTGGGATCATGACCAGAGCCAAAGGCAGAGGCTTTAACCCACTGAGCTACCCAGGCGCCCCCATCTTTGGATTTTTTTAAAGACTAAAATCAATTACATAAGATGATGGACACTAGTGAAACTATTTTGGTTCATGGTCATGACACAAGTAAATCAAGTCAATCACGTCATTATGCTGTACAACTTACACATGCCATATGTCAGTTACATCTCAGTAACACTGGAATAAACAGATATGGTACCAAAACAGAATTTCAAAAATTATGGACAATATTTGAAATCAGAGAATCCTTCTAAGGACTCGAATTCTCAGCTATTCTATGGGAAGGAAATCATTTAAAAACTATTCCTACCAATAGCTTAGAAAAAAGGTTATCATTATTATTATTTTCTTTACCAACTCGTTTATATATATATATATAAATATACAATACCCACTTTTGACAAATTAAGGTGTGAAGATTTAAATCATCCTTTTATATTTAACATAATTTTGCTATTAAATAATTTCTCGGGGCACCTGGGTAGCTCAGTGGATTAAAGCCTCTGCCTTCAGCTCAGGTCATGATCCCAGAGTCCTGGGATCAAGCCCCGCATCTGGGCTCCTGCTCAGCAGAGAGTCTGTTTCCCTTCCTCTCTCTGCCTGCCTCTCTGCCTACTTGTAATCTCTATCAAATAAATAAATAAATAATCTTTTTTTTTTTTTTAAGATTTTATTTATTTATTTGACAGAGAGAGATCACAAACAGGCAGAGAGCCAGGCAGAGAGCGAGGAAGGGAAGCAGGCTCCCTGCTGAGCAGAGAGCCCGAAGCGGGACTCGATCCCAGGACCCTGAGATCATGACCTGAGCCGAAGGCAGCGGCTTAACCCACTGAGCCACCCAGGCGCCCTAATAAATAAATAATCTTTAAAAAATAAATAAATACATAATTTCTCATGCTATCAACTGTCTTCAAAACTTTATTTACTGAAGCTAGCAGCCCATGATAAACTATCATGGGCCTAGTTATATACCAAAATTTGTCTAACTACCATTTTGGACATTGAGAGTCCCTTCATGTTTCATATGTTTATGAATAACATTAAAAATAAAATTTTACCAGGTGAAACATTCCAGCGTATAACTGATTTTTACAAGACACATTCAGAGAAATAGGATGAATCTGTAGATGAGTACTACTTTTTTAAATTCACTATGACTATTCTCTCAAGTAGCTGTCGAGAGATGCTCAGTGCCCAGTACATTCTTAACCATTATATATACTTTGTGTGATCCCTTAAGTTGGAAACCAAATGCCTCAACTAGTTAGGATACAAAATTAATAACACTAGTTAAAAACTGCAAATGGTTATTCTAATTGTATTTTTTTGTTGGTGGCGGTGGTGGTGTTAACTGCAGAGTGTTCTGAAAAGTATGAAAGGAAACAGTCTGTGTTCCCTAGAGGGATTTAAGACTCAACATAAAATATACATGATTTAACATGGACTCTGCCATCCCTTCCCCCGTCCCCCCCAATCTCTCTGCTTTTTGGTTAACTTATTTGTGAAGGCCCTGTGGCTTGACTAAAAACCACTCTGCTCTAAGAGTTTTTTTTTTTTTTAATCAACTTGGTATAGACTTATTTCCAAGTAAGAACAGAGGACAGTTCACTAAGGCCTTAGAAGACAACTGAAAGCTAAAGAAACAAAGTCCTCCCACACACATACATAGTTCCATACTCAGCAGACCACCTAAAAGCTTAAGTGTACATTAAAACAGTATTTATTTATTATGGAATTAAGATATGCTCTTATTTTAGTAAGTTCACGTAACTCTGAGCTGGTTACTGAAGAAAGTCCATTCCTCACGCCACACCACCCCCATCCCGTACCTAATAACCTCACCCTGGGTAACACTGTTAACGGCTGGTATGTTGCAGTGCTACATTTTTCTTCTAATGTATTACTAGTTTACAAAAATGGAAACTATAGACACTACTGTTACTTGTTTTTCATGTTTAATATGTAATAGGATACTTTGATTTCATTTATTTTTGGCACATCACAGGTGCGTTTATTTAGGCCCTGAAGGAAAAGGCACTTCAAGTGTACAGCGAGGGATGGTCCACGTTCCCACCTACGAGCGCTTGGTGCAATTCACAGCCAGACTGGCATTCCACCCGAGGTGTATTCCAAGCAAAGCTGATTAATGATGACCACGAGTAGGGGTAGGACTCAAAGCTCTGAAAGATTTGTTTTTTACCCACACTCCTAATTTTCTAGAAGATGAAGCCCATTCAACCCCATTCCTACCCAAATCTCCTGGTAAACTTAGGTATGAGCAGGGCTTCAAGGGGATCCAGACATTTTTGATAAGGCTCTGATGCATCTCAGAGTGCAGGACCACTGGCTCCGGCCGCCCTGATCTGCATGGCCAGTGACTATAATTGGGTACTTTTTTTTTTTTAAGATTTTATTTATTTATTTGACAGACAGAGATCACAAGTAGGCAGAGAGGCAGGCAGAGACAGAGAGAAGGGGAAGCAGGTTCCTTGCTGAGCAGAGAGCCCGATGCGGGGCTCGATCCCAGGACCCTGGGATCATGACCTGAGCCGAAGGCAGAGGCTTTAACCCACTGAGCCACCCAGGCGCCCTATAATTGGATACTTTTAAATACACTAAGTTGTCTGGGAAAAAGTGCTTGACTATGGAAGGAAAAGGAACAGGCTGGTGATGATGCCCAGATACAGTATGTCTGGACTAACACAGAAGGAACCCTAATAATTGTCAGGGGTGATGAAGAAACAACTTTCACTGTATCACTTTGGATGTTTTTATGTTGTACATTGCAGAAATGCTTTGCTGTGCAATTGTCATTTCTTTTCTTATATATGTATGAATATGAACATATACAGGCACACATGAAAAAATCAAGTGGTACGCAGGACTCCATATTGAGACTGCCACTGGCCCTGAGAGTGGCACAGCAGAGCCCAGGGTGCGTGTGGCTGAGTCCTGCTTCTGGCCTTTTAGTCATGTCGTGGGGTATACCAGCTGTACTTCTGAATGGGAGCGTTTCTGTGTCATCGGAAAAGCGGAACAGACATTTGTATTCTGACTACCTTTAGGGATGTGCCAAAAGGTAACAGAAGGGAAATTTATTCTTCTTATGTCAAACTATACCAGTGTCCTATAAAGTTAATCTTCTCTGGTGTAACCAAGAGGAGAATAAACTTTGAAGAAGATGAAGTCAACAGACACCATGCTGTACCCCAAGACATTTCCTGCCAAGTTAAAGACAGTTAGTTTTCCTTTCTTCTGAAGGCACACTCTCAGCTTTTCCTGTGCCCTGACCCAAGTTCTCATGGTT